GCGGGGCTCGCTGAGTCTTTCATGGCGGCGGCTGGCGGCAGGTGCCGCTGTGGGGACATAGCCCCCGGCCTGAGGGATGCGGGGAGGGCAGGGACTCTCCGGAGGCTGCGGACCAGTGACCACTGCATCTCATTTCTGCCCAGATCGCTCCCGTTTTATTATTCTGGGGCCTCCTGACTGCCCGCTTCCTCCCCCTCCATCCACACGCAGCCGCTGCAGGAACCTTTAAGAGTCCAAGCTCATCGCCTCCCCTCTCTGCTGGGGACACTGGGGCACAACACTTGTTCGAGGTCATGCAACAACTCAGAGTCCCCCGAGGGACCCCAGTCCGGCCCAGGCCGCCCGCACGGTGCCCCTTCCGCCCGGGCCCTGCCCCCCGCCCCCCGCCCCCAGCAGCGTTGCCCCTGGTGGCAGAGATTTGGCAGCCAGCTCCCACCTGCCCCAGGAGGACCCAGGCAGCACTGCGCGTGACCCTGCCCCGAAGACTCCCTCCGGCCTTCCCCGCAGTTGCTGGCAGCGGACTGTGGCCACGTCACCCAATGCCGTGAGCCGCCACTTCCTCGCCCACAGAACGGAGATGACTCACGTGCCCACGTAACGGGCTGCGGCACGGGTTACACGGGGCCAAGTCTGCAAAGCACCTGCAAAGCGCCTGACACACGGAACCGTTTCCGATGCCCTCGCTCACCACGGCAGGCACGCACGGGGCCCCTCACGGCGCTGCCCTCCGGACACTCCCTCCGTGGGGAGAGGAGGACAGCGAGCGGACAGCGCACAGGGACACGCCGGGACAACGGGCTCCGCGGAGGGGCCGGTGCTCCCGGGAATGTGGTGGGGTGGCAGAAGGACCGCTGTCTGTCCACGACGTGAGCGTGCAGGTCAGCAGCGGGCCGCAGGCCGTGCTCCGGGGGGCAGACGGCGTGTGGGAGGCACAGGAGCGAGGGGGGTGTGGCCAAGCACCCCTAAGGCCAGGGGGTGAGGTGGGAGGTCAGAGGGGTTGGAGCGCAGGTCCCCGGGGCCTGTGAGCCGAGCGGGAAGGAGGTGGCGCAGGCGGCGCGGGCAGGACAGAAGCAGCCGGAGCTCGTGGTGGCGCGGAGCAGGGAGGCCAATGGGGAGCGCAGAGGTCCAGCAAGAGGCGCTGCTTTGGAGCAGTGGCCGAGGGAAGCAGCTGCAGCTGAGACAGGCGCAGTCCAGGGCAGAAGCCACGGGCCTGGCTGAGGACGGGACGGGAGTCAGGGACGATGCCCACGTTCTCAGCCGGAGCACCCAGGGTGCCCCGCTCGGACTCCGGGAGCCCGGGCCTCTCCCTCCCGTGAGCGGCCTCCCCCGGAAGTCCTTTGCCGTCTGGAAAGGCTTTTACCGAACGTCCGGCCGCTGCCAGGAAGGAGGTACAAATCTGTGACCACAGAGATGAAAGACCCGCTGATACTGCGGAGAGGAAGTGGCCGGCGCTGTGCGCACAGAGAATCCCGCCGCTTCTCTGAAAAGCCTGAAGGCAGTGCTCGCTGTCCCGGAAACACTGAAGGCACAGGTTACCCCGATGACGTCAGAGCTCCCCACGCCTGGGGCCCGGCCGAGGCTCCCGACGGGGGCTGCTGCCGGAACCCCTCTGCTGCCTCAGCCCCAGGTGGCCAAACAGGTGGCCGACCACAGGGGCGACGTGCTGAGAATTAGGGCTCATCAAGACCACGACTACCTCCCCGGGACCCAGGGACCCGTGACAACTAGGGGTGGTCAGCAGGGCTGGCTCAGGCCGCCCCCCCGCTGCCACCCCCGCCCCTGGTGCACAGCAGGGGAGCAGGGTCTGGGAGCCCCTTCCAGTCACATCGCCCTCAGTCCGCTCCCCCACACACACCCTTAACCTCTGCTCCACGTCCCACAGGCTCCTGTCTGCGTGTCCCCCTGGGAAGCCTCGGTACCCCCCAACCAGGCCTGGTCCCCCCTTGCATACTGCTGTGCACCCCCTTTAGGTAACTCAGCATGACTGCAATGAACCTCCCCGCAGTGCCTCTGCCTCTCCCCACCCCTTCCCCCTGCCTAGAGGAGCCAGGACACCCCTGCCAAGCTCACCCTGTGACCCCAGAGCCCAGCACCGAGTCTGCACGCGGAGGGCACTCAACAAAGATGGAGTGGGCTTCAGACAAGGACAAAAGTAACACTTGTATGGTTACAAAATACTCTGACTTACGACGGAGTGACGCCCCCACAAACCATTCAGTTGAAAATATTGCCACCGGAAAGTGCGGTTGCTACGGCAACGTAGGGCGTTGGTTGTTTCTCACCCTCCTGCTCAGGGCGCTGGCCCCGTCCGGCCCCAGGAGAGTCGCACCCGCACCACACTCCACTAGCAGGAACCGACCACGACTCAGAATTCGAAGAATGGTTTCTGCCGAACGCGCACGCAGGTCGCTTTCGAACCATCTTTAAAGCGGAACGACCACACGCCGGGGGCCGTCTGTAATAGCTTTATAGCATCGCCATAAGTAACAGCACCTGCCACAGCCCGGCGTCCCCACCTTCCCTCTGCATCTTCCTCCGCACCCCCCAGGCGAAGGAGGACAGAGGATCACTCCCGTTTTACAGACGAGGAAACCGAGGCCCCGAGAGCCTGCAGCAGCTCCCCGAGGTCCCGTGCTGCTCCTGACGGCCCCAGGGGCGGGACCCAGACCAGGCCAAGGCCGACGGCCTGTGCTCGGCCCCGGGGGCTCCCCTCCCTTCTCTCCACATCAATGTTTGCAGAACATGGATCCAACCCCCGTTTCTCAGGCCACCCGCTGCTCGCCCTGGGTGCCTCAGGCAGTGTTGCCTGCCTAGCCTAGTTTCTCTTCCTGCTCATGCCTCAGACTTCTCTTCCAGGCTGAGGGGGAACCCAACCAAAGGAGCCTCCACGGCTTCCCCCACGCTGCTGGCAGCAGCACTGTGGCCGGCTCCCTGAGGGCGGGGCCTGGGTGCAGGTACCTAAAACCGAGAGGGAACTTCATCTTGCCTCCCAGGCCAGGGGTCAGCAAACTCATTAGTTCACAGAGCCAAATATCAACCACACAACGATGGACATTTCTTCTGAGAGCCACATGTTTTAAACGTAAACCTCTCCTAACGCCACTTCTTCAAGACACACTCGCCCAGGCCGTGGTGTTTTGTGGAAGAGCCACACTCAAGGGGCCAAAGAGCCGTATGTGGCTCGCGAGCTGCGGTTTGCCGACCACGGTCCCGGGAGGAGGGGAAGGAGGGCGCTGGACTCTGTTTGGCAAACCTCGCTGGGGAGGAGCCCCCCGCCCCCAGCCTGGTTCTTCCCTAAAGGGCCTTGCCCCCCTGCTTGGCACACAGCATTCCACCGGCGGCATTGCTCCTGGGACTTTGCGGGTGAGAGGCAGGGAGAGGGGCGTGGGGGCGCCGGGCAGACACGATGATGAACTTGGGGGTGCCATGGACCTCTCAGGCCATCATTCCACCGACAGGTGTGGGTTGGATGGGGCTCCACTCAGAAGGTCCCTAGGAACTCCAGGCACCGGGGCTGGAGAGCAGAGACATGGCAGGTGCGGCTCTCACTGCAAAAAGGCACCACCTGCAACCAGCACTTGGCACACAGAAGGCCCTGAAAGAAACATGTGCTGAACAGGGGAGAGGGAAGGAGAGGTTGAAGGAAGGAGGGAGGAAGGGAGGGAGGGAGGGAGGGAGCACTGAATTTCTAATTATATGAGGCGCTGGTTCATTCAGTTTGGAAAACCCCCAAACATGGACTAAACCGTCAGTCCGACACTGAAATGCCTCCACTGGGCTGTCAGGGAAGCTCAGAGGATTTGATCAGAAATCAGGATTCTCAGAGCAACCCCCTGGCTGCTGTCATCTCCAAAGCTAATTGAGCGCGGCAGGGAGCGGGCCGCCTGTGCCTTTTATGTAATGAGAGGATCTTCCAAAAATAATGCCCAGCGGCACAGCTCGGGAGGCAGGCCTGGCGGCGGAGCCAGCTGGAGCAGCAGGAGGCGACCGGGAGCCGTGATCCCACGCCAACACCACGGTTACGGTGAGATGACGCCTCCCGCATGCAGAGCGCAGAACGCTGCGGGCTGGCGCCAGGGAGCGGCCGGCTATGGCGCGTGGCGACCAGGTCGCTTCCCAGGGTTTCGGCACACTCCCAGGTCCCAGGGGCTGAGGAGGCCAGGGGCTGCCCCTGGGTTTCGGCACACTCCCAGGTCCCAGGGGCTGGGGAGACCAGGGGCTGCCCCGTGAGAGGGTGCAGGAATCGGGGGGACCTTAGTTTGCCCAGCATCCGTCCGGACATAGGGTCTCACCGGCAGGAGGGTGGCTGAGATTTCACCGAGAGGCACTGGGAGTGCAGCCACACGGAAGTGATGTTCGCAGTGGGTAGGAGGGAGGGAGGGAGGGACGGATGGGAAGCCACCCAAATACCCATGGTGGGGGGATGACAGAATCAACTGTGGCCACCCTCCCCCCCACCCCCCGCACCCACACACACACCTGGCCCCTGGACCATTACACGGCCATTAGAAAGATTGCGTGACTCCTGTTCCAGCTGACCCAGGTGCAGGACCACGTGTGCTGCCAAATAAGAAAAGTAAAAGCTAGAGAGATGCTTAGGGCAGGTGGCGGGCCGGGTGTGGTCACCAACGATGCCAGCAGTCAGTCTGGCCCTCTGCCTGGACCGTGCCGCCAGGAGCTAAGACAGCCTTCACGTTGGCCGATGGTTCGGAAGTGGCCGTGAAGAGCTGGAGAGGGTACTGCATGGCCTGTGAGACTCAGTGAATGTCCAGTGCCAGGCCCAGTCTCCTGGGGCCCAGCAGGCTTCCTTGGTGCCCGTCGTCCGCAGGGCTGACATTCCCGCCCTGGCATCGGAGTTTTCCTGAGACCGTCCGGGGCCCCTGGTTGAGGGCGCGGTGACACTCGGTGAAACAGCAGCGTTGGGCACTGTTCTTGGCACTGCATCAGCCTGAATGTGTGACATTTGCTTATTTATTCATTCATTTTAGGATTTACCCACCGGAGACCAATGCCCGCCTGGTGGGGCCAGCCCGGCGTGGGAACCAGCACTGAACAAGTCGACGCTGCCTGCCTCGCGGGGCTTGGAGCCTGCGTCTAGATCTTTCTTTCTCCACATAAGCAATCCCTCGCTGTGGGCTTCACGCAGAGACATGTGGCTCAGCCCCTAGCATCCTGACTCCCCTCCCCCTTCCACGGCGCATTCTGATTGCCCCCAAAGAAGGGCATCCGGACTGGCCCAGGCTCCTGGTAGCGGGCAGGGAGGTCCAGGTCCAGAAGATCCATCCTGCTTCAGGCCACGCTCTCGTCTGGTTTCAAAGCGCTCGACACCCGGCCTCTGTGTTGTCAGCTCCTGCTCTCCAGTGGCCCCTGAGGGAGATGCAGCAGCCAGACCCCTGCCCCGCCGATGGGAGCAGCTGCCGGCTCTGGAGAAGGATGCGGCCTCGTCTCCACATGATCCGCCTTCATAGCCCCTGAGCCACCTCCAGACACCCCCACCGCCTCGTCTCTGCAAAACCTGGAGAGAGGCCTGTCCAGGCCGGGAGGAAGCCAGCTCCGAGGGGCCAAGCTGAGGACTGGGGTTTGAACCACCAACTTCGCCTCCTCTCTGCTCCTCCTCAACATCTCCCAGGAGACTGACTTGACTTATTTCTAGAAAAAGCACTGTAGCCTGCCCACAATTGGATACGTGTTGTGGTTTCTGCGGGGCAGCCTGGAGCCCGGTGGCTGGCACATTGGGGGGCTGGGAGAGAAGCCGCGAGGGGCCCTGGCAGAGGCCAGAGCTCGGGGTCCCAGGATGGAGTCCAACGACACGGCCCCCGCCTCCTGCCTGGCCTCTGCCGCGTTCAAGGTCTCCGTCAGCGTGGCGCTCACCGTCCTCATTCTCCTCACGATCGCTGGCAACGTGGTGGTCTGCCTGGCCGTGGGCCTGAACCGCCGGCTCCGCAGCCTGACCAACTGCTTCATCGTGTCCCTGGCCGTCACCGACCTGCTCCTGGGCCTCCTGGTGCTGCCCTTCTCGGCCGTCTACCAGCTCTCCTGCCGCTGGAGCTTCGGCCGGGTCTTCTGCAACATCTACACCAGCCTGGACGTGATGCTGTGCACGGCCTCCATCCTCAACCTCTTCATGATCAGCCTCGACCGCTACTGCGCCGTCACGGCCCCCCTGCGCTACCCTGTGCTGGTCACCCCGCTCCGCGTGGGCGTGTCCCTGGTCCTGATCTGGGCCGTGTCCATCACCCTGTCCTTCCTGTCCATCCACCTGGGCTGGAACAGCAGGGAGGAGGCCGGGGGCGGGGCCAACCGCACCGTCCTGCCCTGCAAGGTCCAGGTCAACCTGGTGTACGGCCTGGTGGACGGGCTGGTCACCTTCTACGTGCCCCTGCTGGTCATGTGCGTCACCTACTTCCGCATCTTCAGGATCGCCCGGGAGCAGGCCCGGAGGATCCACCAGGCCGGCCCCTGGAGGGCGGCCACGCTCCGGGAGCACAAGGCCACGGTGACGCTGGCCACCGTGATGGGCGCCTTCGTCCTCTGCTGGCTCCCCTACTTCACCGTGTTCGTCTACCGCGGGCTGCGGGGCGACGCTGCCGTCAACCAGACCTTCGAGGCCGTGGTGCTGTGGCTGGGCTACGCCAACTCCGCCCTGAACCCCATCCTGTACGCAGCGCTCAACAGGGACTTCCGCACGGCCTACCAGCAGCTCCTGCGCTGCAGGTACAGGGGCTACGCTGACCACGACCCCTCTCTGCGGTGCCACGGCTCATGGCTCCCCAGGACGCGGAGCCAGGGCCCCGGGCAGCAGGAAGAGAAGCCCCTGAAGCTCCAGGTGTGGAGTGGCGGAGAGGCCGCGGCACCCCGGGGAGCCACAGACAGGTAACCGCCCGGGATGGGGGCTCCGGGAGAGGTCCCCCCGACGGCGACCGCCACGGTGGCCACTGCCCCAGGGTGCTGGCCTCTTCGCGAGGACCTCGCAGACCCTGGGCTGTGGGAGCATCCCCGGGGAGGGGACACTTTCACCTCCGTGTTACAAGGACCACAGCGTAGCCAGGGCCACGGGGCTGGGACCTGGACAGAGGCCCCCGGCTCCAGAGCTTGTGAGCCCTGTGTCCCGGCTCCATGGTCCTGGCTGTCAGAGTCCTCAGGCCAAGGCCCAACCCTGCCGCGGAGCTGGCAGTCCTAAGTGCTCACGCAGATGCTGCAGACGCCGTCCGGGGGCCTCGGGAATGCCGGAGCCTGGGGGTGAGATGAGAAAGCCCGCTGGCCCTCTGAGCACGTCATGCATCAGCTCGTACGCTGGGGGCACTGCAGTGAGAGGAGGAGGAGGACTGGCCCAGCCGGGAGGGCAGGGCTGGGCTCTGTGCCAGAGGTTCCCAGGGGAGCAGGAAGGCTTAGAAGCTAGGGGGCAGCTCGGTGCTTTGAGCGGGGGCTCCGGCTGCCCCCTCAGACGTGGACGAGAAGCAGGAGCCAGGCCCTCCGTGCAGGGGCTGCGTCCTTGGCTGTGAGAGAGGAGGGGAGGGCCGGGCAGCGTCCAGGCGGCTCTGGGAATAGGCTTGGGGGCGCTGGTGCTCGGGGTGCAGGAGATTTAAGAGGAAGGATGTCCCATGGTCGTTCCCAAGGAGTCTCCAGGCTTAGGAGATACACAGGATCAGAGAGAGGCTTAGACAGATCCGCCGAGAAGAGGCCGAGGCCGGTGATGGATGGAAGTGGCACCGCAGGGTTGAGCGGCTCGGACACACGCTGTGTGGGGAGGGCGGCGTGGTGGGCGTGAGCGGAACGGGGGCCCGGGGGCGGGAGAACGCTGGCACACAGGTGGCTCCGAGGGCGTCCCTTTCTTTCATCTTCTGCGGACCTCGCCTTTGTCGCCAGAATGCTGGTCCGTGCGCCTGACCCACTCATTCACCCGCAAACATCTATCCGCTCCCCTCCCCCCAGGCTGAGAGCTGTGCTGGGCGCAGGCATGGCGTTTGGGCGTTTCCCAGCCCTGTCCCTCGCTCACCCGAGTTTGAGCAAGTCCCAGCCTCAGTTTCCCCTCCTCACAGGGGGCAGGGCCTGTCCTCACGCGCTGTCCCGCTCACCTCTCAGAGCGGCCGGAAGCACATGCGAGTGGAGGGAGGCCGTCGGGCTGGGACGGCCCTGGAGGCAGGTTCATTCTGGAGCCCGTGTCCGTCTGAGGAAAGAGGGGCCACACCCTCCGGGATCTGGTCTCTGTGCTTCGTGGTGGGGGGAGACGGTCCAGCTGTAACCCCTCCTCCACTCCCCAAGGCCCCAGGGCCCCTCTGGCCCTTGCAGCCTTCACCCCGTCCACTGCTAACCGGCTGCACCCAGCCTCCTCCCAGCCTCCCGGCCTCTAGACTCTCCCCCTCAAGCCCCTCCCCCAAGCCCTCTGCAGGCGCCTCTCCACAATGCAGAGCCGCAGCCTTCACACCCGGCCCTGGCCCGGCCCTGGTGGGTATGATGCCGTCCGTGTCCGGCCACACTCTCCACCCAGGAGGCGGCCTGAGTGACAGGTTGAGTTGGTTCAAGAAGCAAACAGAGAACAAAGCGGGCGTGTGCGATCGGTCAGGTCCCGCACACCACTTCCTCCCGCGCGGACCTGCGTGTCCCCAATCCTGAGGGAAACTCTCGGTGAGCACTAAGAGCTGGCACTTTCACCGCGCCCCCCCCAAGATTGTAAAGCCTCCAGTTTACAATCCTGCCATTGTTCCTCTGCTGGGTCCTCTGTCCCCAGCATGGGTGCCAAGGCGATAAAGCAAGATCCCCACCCCATGCCGCCATCTGTAGCTGCCCGGGGCTCAGCTGAGGAGCAGGCGGCCCCTGTCCATGCATCGCGTGCCAAGGATGGAGACGCAGTGCACTGAGCGCCCCAGGGCGGGGCGCGGGGCGGGAGTGAAGGGAGGGGGCACATGGCCCAGGCAGCCCATCCCGGGAGCGGGCCAGTGAGCGGAGGGAGACAGGAAAGACCTGTTCATCTGGGGGGGTGGGCCCTTCAGACTCATGGCCTCATGTCATCCTCCCACGACCCCACCAGCAGGTGCCTGTTCAGGCTCCACTTCACAGATGGGAAAACTGAGGCTCAGAAGTTAATGAAATTGCCCAAATGACACAAGCTGGTGAGTCAGCCAAAGCCAAGGTCTGAGCGCCAACAGAACCAGCAGCCCCCGTGCCTGACAGTCCTGTGGGCGCTGGCACCCTGGGAGGTGTGTGTCCCCCTCTGGTCTGATCCTCACGCCTCTGTGGGCGGGGGGCCGGGAGGACACCGAGAGGCCGGGCCTGCAGAGTCCCACGGAGCGGCCACAGAGCACCTGGGAAGCAGAGGCTGGACGGAGGGGATGGGGAGGGAGGAGTAAGGAAGAAGAGGAGAAGGGGAGAATGGGGAACCAGGTAAGGGCTTGGGGGAGGGGAAGGAGGCCAAGCATAGGTTTTCCCACCAAGGCTGCCAGGAGAATCAGGACCTTGAATGACCCTCCAGAAGGTCAGCTCCCAGCTTCCATGGTGCCAGCAGCATGTCCTCCCCAGAGTCTGTCTACGGACAGAAACCAGTGCTGACCTGACCGAGAGCCCTTATCACCGCTAAGGGGTGGGGCTGTCTGCTTAAGCAAGATTCCAAGGGACTGATCGGGGCCTGCCCTTGGTGTGGCAGCCGGGTCAGCCAAGGGGAGACGTAGGAGCCAGAGGGGCCCAGCAGGCCTGGCGCCAGCCAGCAGCCGCCTCCCCGCAGGACGCTCTGTCTGCCCCTTCCTGACCCCACCGGCCTCCTTCACCCACTCTCCCTCCACCCTGCACAGCCTCACCTGCCTCCTCTCTGAGCCCAGCCCCGGCCTCTCCCCGCTCAGTGACCTCAGCGTCTGCGGGCAGAGGCTGCATTAGCTTCTGAGGGCGCGTAACTCATGGCCGTGAGCCTGGAGGCGGAGAACACACAGATTCATCCTCTCACAGTGCGGGAGGCCTGCAGCCCAAGAGCCAGGTGCGGGCAGGCCGGCCCCTCCTGGAGGCTCCCAAGCAGACCCGTGCCTCTGCCTTCTCCCGCCTCCGGTGGGAGTGAGGGAGCCCGGGACGGTCCGGCCCTGCCACAAGCTGGTTGGGCGATGCTCGGTAGGTCGCTGGGCGTCTGAGGGCAGCTCCTCACCCAGAAGCCATGAGGATGCGCTCCGCAGAGGGAGCCGCAGGAGAGGGAGGCAGGGCCGCGGCACGGGCACACCTCCTGGCAGCGGCAGGCCCTTGGACGGATGGGATTTTGTTCCTCACGCCCATCCCTCTCCCTCTCCTCTCACTTGGCCGTTTTGTTCACTGTCTCTCTTCTCTGGAACAGCTCCCTGGGGTGCACCAGTTTCCAGGGTATGAGTCCCGGCTTTTCTTGCGTTCTCAGAGCTGTGCAGCCAGCACCGCAGCGGACCTGAGGACTTTTTCACCGCCCTGTAGCCTTTAGCTGTCACCCCGCAATCCCCGCTTCCCCAGTGGCCACCAGCCTGCTGCCTCCCTATCTCTGTGGCCTCGCCTGTTCTGTTCACCCTAAATGCCCGCTCCTCCGCACCCGGCTCCTCCGGGCTGTTTGAGGCTCTCTCTCCTCTACTGCCCCTGCCTCCCTGTGCTCCCTCTCCCCTGCTTGGCATTTTCCTTCCCTCTGTCTCCCCGTCCCCATCCCTCCATCGCCCCACTTCTCCTCCCGGGACTGGGACTGGATGGCGGCTCCAGGCCGAGGCCACGTCCTGCACCTGGTGCCCGAGCCCTGTCCCTGCCTCCATCCCCAGGGGCCTCACAACCCCTGCCCGCAGGCCCGCAGGGCCCGCTCTGCACAGCGCGGGCAGGGCCACGGCTCCTAAAGGAGCTCATCCTCTTCATCTCCCTCTCCTCCCCCCAAGAGGGCGTTGGGAGAGGGGGAGCAGAGGGAGAGGCGGTGGGCAGCCTTTCACTGCCTCAGAAATCAAGGAGAATAAACCATGACCCCCCAGGAGTCACCTGCAAGGCAGAGAACCCCTCACTTACCCCCAGGGGACTGTGCCTTTCAAGCTAGACCCACCCTCCGCTGGCTCCCTGCAGACCCTCCGCCCTGCCCTTTCCCACCTGCTCTTTCTTCCGCTCTTTATGACTCAGACCTGCTGGGACCTGCTGTGGGGCTGCCTGCTGGGGCTGGGACCAGAGGGGAGGAGAGAGGAGGAGAGGGGAGAGGAGGAGAGAGGGGAGGGGAACTGTGCTTCCAGGCCATTGCCAGGTGCTTTGTACCTTAAGAAAAGGTGCTCCAGGTAAACCAAGGAGGATGCGGCCAGCTGTCCAGGGAACCGGCCCCAGGACTGGCGGCCAGAAGCAACTCTGGGCTCAGTCCTGAAACCCCGGGGCCAGGAGCAGCTGCAGACACGGGGATGTGAATCCCATGTCGTTTTCCACAAAATGCCTTTCTTCTAGTCATGCCCCACCCCCTCACACACACACACACACACACACCACTTCCAAAACACAGGTGGCCGGCCGGATTCCGCCCACAGGCTATCGTCTGCCACCCCCTGGTGTAAAAGGAAGAGATGGTGCCAATGCCAGCCCCAGCGCTTGCTGGCTGTGGCTTTGGGCAGGTGGCTCGCCCGCTCTGAGCCTCAGCTTGCTCATCTGCAAAATGGGAATAAGAAAGCCTCTCTGTGAAGACTGCGAGGGGCTTGGCACCAGTTTGTCCAAAGCCCGGGGCCTTGCCCCTGAGCCTGGCGTCCCCCGTCTGAAGATGGCAGGCTTGGATCAGACTCGAGAGACCATTCCCACGCGAATTAGATAGACACGCTGAGCAGGGAGCGAAATCAGGCCAAGCCTCCAGCTGTGTCCGTCAGGAATCACCGGGCAGGGCCGTGGAGAACGTGGTTCTCATACTAATGAGCTGCTCCGAGGGAGGA